ATGCCCATTTTATATATTATTATATTATATTATTATTGTTATTATTATTTATTATTATTATTCATTATTTTTGTCACTAGGCCTACCTACATAAACTGGTATGTTGAATTATGTTTTTTTTTCTTCACTACCCCAATATATATATATCAGCTTTTACTGCACTCTGTGGTCCACGTTTCATATCAAAGATAACAATGTGATGGTTATATAAATTGTTTTATGTAAACCCTTGTATGATATTCCATTATAGAGTTTAGATCTAAATGCGTGCGCTAGATTATTGACGTTTGTCTCTCCGACTTATTTTTAGTTGGATTGTTTCTCTTTTTTTTTTTGGCTCTATTGTTCAACTTCTAATTATATCCAGAGACTCTTAGGTTAGGGTTAGGGTTAGGGTTAGGGTTATAGTGTCTCTGTTATATCCTAATCTTCATGTGTTTATGGAGTGATAGCGTCGATGGCACTATAAAAACGCACAAGCAAACATGGATTTATCTCCTTTATCTAACCAAAGGTGTGTTCTTGAGACTGAGACTAGTAAGAACAGCGGACTCGTTTCCCAGCTGTACTGTTAGCCTAGAGCACAGAATTCTACACTTAGAAGTGTAGAATTCTGTGGCCTAGAGTTAGGCTATCTAGGATTAGCAATAGGGGATTCCCCACCGCCATCTTTTTGTGCGGGTGTGTTGTCAAGCGGAAGTTCACTTTCGCCATTGAACTGGGTCTGGTTGAAAGACGTAGAAAATGGGCCACTTCGCCAGAATGACCCCCTGGATGGATTATTGCACAAAAAGTCTTATCCGTGAGTTTTCAGGGTAGTTTATTCTATTTATTTCTTAATGACATTGGCTTGAATGTTCCAGACAAGCAATTAATAGGGATACATAAATCACAAAGGTAAGAGAGTGTAAGGTAAGGTCGATGAATCACACACACGATCGTGACACACTGACTGGGCGGAGAAAAGGTGTGTTCCCAGTTAAAATAGAGTAGACAGTCTATCTAGATTCTAGATCTTGTATAACACGCATTACTTGTGACTCAGTCAGTCCAGGTATATTTTAAGCAGTCGTTTCTCAATCTTTGCTCACGATTCCCCCTGTTTAGTGTATGGTATTAGAACTGAACACTCTTCTAGATTAGGTCTAGGCTAGAAGTCTAGATCTAGATTCTTGATCATGACATAGTCTAGATCTAGAGAAGAGTAGATCTAGAGTATATATATGTGAGGTGTGCTTACAAAATGAGTTACTTCTCACTGTCCAAGCATGGAGATATCGGCCGAAAATCGACACTACGATCAGATTTATAGATTTTTAATTGATGCCATTTTGTTCAAGTCTGCCTTGTCTTTTATTTTTCCATACTTACAAATTGTACAAACTTCACCTAGTTTTTTATTTGTCAAAATTTCTAATGAAGGTAAGAATAAAAGTTTTAGAAATTGAAAAATTATTGAAAATTCAAAGAATGGTGGATTATCTAATTTAAAAGAATGCAGAGAGCGGGCAGAGTTCACACAAAAAACCCCAATATAATATAGATCTATATATATTATATGGAATATAATAAAGATAACCAACCAATTACTTAAATCAGACTATGAATTTACAAAGGAAATGGCTATCCTCACCCGGGGTGAGAATAGAAATACGATCGACCTCTCACCCCGGGTGAGACTTGCCACCGTTGGCTATTCTCACCCGGTGTGAAACAAGACCTGTTTTTCCTAATTTCGGAATACTTTTTATCGGTGTGGATGATCAAATGGATAAAAGCAAAAAAAAAATTACATTATACTTATAGCAACAAAAGTAAGCTAATTTGATTGTCTACAAAGATGCTATGGCCTATGGCTATTTCACTTTTCGAATCGAGCCGAATTACGTGGGTCGCCATTTTGTTTTTTCCCGGAAGTTCTCGCAAGATCTACTCCTCCCCTCTTCTCTCTCTCTGTCCCTTCTGAATACTGTCTATCGGTGTGGACAATCAAATTGACCAAAACAAAGTTAAAAAATGATGCGGTACTCCTCTCTTTCTTTCTCTCTTTCCAGTGCCCCCAGACAAAATTGTACGCTTTTAGGCTAACAACAGTAGTATTGGAATGTTTGTTCACGGCACAGAATTCTACAATTTTTCTCACAGTGTAGAATTCTGTGGTTCAGGGTGAACGCAAAATTGGTTGGCCTAGATCTAGGCTATACGGTGAACGCACAACGGGTGACCGGGTGAGAATAGCCAAAATACTCGCCTGCGCTATTCTCAACCAGGGTGAGAATAGAGGTGGCCATTTACAAAATATGCAAAAAAGAAAGAGCATACAGATTAGCTATGAAATCTAAAAAACAAAGTATATATGTTAAAAAATTTACACTGTGTAGAGTTTAATTGGACCACATCAAATGATCTTAGGGACCAAGTCCTGGTTTACTGCAAACACCCCTTCCAAGTAGTTTTTTTTTTTACAAGGTTGCTGCTAGATGACCTGACCTCAGGGTCTGGCTTGTGGGCTGTTTTTTGGTGATCCTTCTGCTTTAAGACCTCTATGCGATACTTGGACTTGGACTATTTTTCAATTTAAATTTGACGCTTTTTTTTCCCCCCGATCATCATTATGTTTCTACTTGATCTACTCTTTTTATTTTCTGAGTTAAAAGGTGTTGTCTATCCTTAATTTCATTACTGAAGTAAAGTGTGGCCAAGAGGACTACTACTACTATAAATCTTTAGTTCTTGATTTGGTGGATGGATATATTTTTCATTCATAAATTTATTTAGGTCCCTTCTCATTTTGACCTCTTTCCACTTTATTTTCTACAGCACACTGGCACCAGGGATAGTTGCATGAAGACCGCCTTTGAAAATGATCGCCTCCTTCACTTTCGTACGTTTTCTCCACACCTGGGCTCTGTGATGGAGACTGCAGGAGGTAGCGGCGGTGGTGGAAGCAGGGACAGCAACAGGGGTTCCTACGAGCTGTACGATGACCAGCGGGCACCCGGCAAGTTGGCAGGGGAGCCGCCCACCAACCGACCCAGCCCCAACGTCGGGCAGGCAGCACCAGGATGCCCGGGCTCACTCTCCGAGTCTACTCAGGTGAGTTGGGGAGACCATCCTGGTTACATATTATAATTATTTGTGAGGCATCATGGTGAAATTAGGTGCTTGTCCAAAAATTATAATGAAATAGAAGAAAAGGGCATTTTTCTACCAGTTGAGATAGCAATATTTTTATCGATTTAAAAAAAAGAAATTTTTGGCTTAATGAAAGTCCTTTTTTATGTCCCCTTAAAAACACATTTCATTGTGAATTTTACTGACAAACACTTTTATTGGAGCCACAAGATATTATGTAAATATTCAGTTTTCTAGGACTTTCAATTTATTGAATTTATCAAACTTTGGTGGCCATTTTTTGGATAATTTTATCACTGGAATCAGGCGACTCTCACCTCCTTCAATTGCAAATATCTTTGTTTTCTTTTCAAAATAGATGGGCATTTTTTTCATTGAAAGTGTAAACAATAGAAATGGACAAGCATTGAGATGATACCAACAACCCTACATGCCCAAAAGTTGATGAGCGCCTGATTACCCCGCCTTGTACGGTGGAATTAGGCGCTTGTCAGTTTTTGGGCTCATTGAGATATTGTTATAAAAGTATTTTAATCTGTAAAGCTTATTCACTTGTCTTGCTTCTGATGAAGAAATTAATTGTCCATATTATATCTTGAATAGAAGTCTAGAATATGTGTGTGCTATAAAAATAAAAGGAGGTGCGGGTCTCTTGGTGACAGAGGTAAAGTTGTCAAGAAAATGGCCACCGAAGTGTGGTGACTTCTGAAGCTGTAGTGTCTTTGAAAACTGCAGATTTACATTTTTTGTTCCTTAGATCAATGTTTTCAGTGAAATCTATGCAAGCATGTTCTTTAATGAACGTAAAGATGTTGACTCCAAAACGAAAAATTTGAATGAAATTGCTCTTCAGGCAAAAAATGCGTTTCTTTTGATTTTATCATTTTAACGAGCACCTGATTTCACCATGAAGCCATTCATGTATAGCTACCAACCACCGCATAAAAGTATATTTTTGGTACTTTTTTGAGAGTCTGAGTACACTTTTTTGGGTTGGGAAATACGCATTTTCCTTTTTCTAGTATAGGTCCTCATAGTCCTGCAGATGCTGAAGAAAAATTATAAGCTTTAAATAGATTTATTGAATTTGCAGTGCAAGTATTGTATAAAATTTTATTGTCTTTTCAATTTAAACATACTTTATCATTTGATGAAAAAAAAAAAAAGAAAATACCCTGTGTAGAGTATATTTACGTCCAAAATGCATTACAATTGAGCACTGGAAAATTTGGGTCTCTGATCTGCATTGTTTCTAAATTAACCGTTTGAAAATGAAATTTCTTGTTAAAAACCTTGTAGTATAAAAAGTTCAATTGAAAGACAGGAAGATAAGATGACTTTATTTTTATATTCTTACGGTCCCTGTAGGGAAATACAGTCAAACATGGGTAACTAGAATTCGTCGGGGATGGGAAATAGTGTTTGAGATTTCCGTAATTTGTCACTTCTGTGAAAACCTCAAATACAAAGAAATAGAGAGAAAATCTAGGGAGTTAAAAAAGAACATTAAAGCAATAAGCAGGGTTAGTTCCCTTGATGAACGTGTTGACGGTGTGAAAGCAAGACGGTGGATGAAAATGAAAGTGGAGAGAAGAAAGTCTCGCGTGTGCACAGCCGACTCGTACGTCGTTCCTTTCCTCTCATTTCATTGGCTTACACAAAGTTACACCTCTGGTCATCCGCACTGCGCGGGTACAGCATGATTACACGCATGGTGAGCCAGTCATGCGGTACTGTTAGCATCACCCCCCAACCCCCTTTCACTGTCCCCCCCTTCCTCCAGTCAAGCCTCTCCGTGGTGAGACAAGGACCACCTTTTTGGCTGTAATTGACAAAGAAACCCCTATCTGCAGCCAGAAAGGCTGTAAAGGCGGGTCTTTAGTTGAGAATGTGAAGTAGATTTGTTCGAGATTCGAGTGTTCGGGAACTCTGTGAAGTCAATACAATGAAAACAGGAACTGAAGCGGGACCGGTCATTATAATGTTGGAGATACCTGACAATTTGTGATTTTCGTGTTCGAGATTCGTGGACTATACTGTTCTAATATGACATGGAAGGGTAATTTGTGGCTTTCAGATTGTAGTTGTAGGAGTTATGAAAGGAGGACAGAGGTTAAAGGATGCCCCTTTGTGATGATATGTAGAGTTAATGAAATCAATCATGGTGTTGTTGTTTTTTTAAATTAAATTTTTGTTGTTGTTAATGTTGATGATTTTTACACCCCCATTGACACAATTTATATCATTTAGGAGGTTGGCTTCTGACCAAAGCAAGCTGTACTTCAATAGAACCCCGTCAAGCCTAGTCAGGAAATTTCCAATCCATGTCATATTTATATATTGCCTTATGGGGACCATTAGAATAATAGGTAATCCCATCTTCTTTCCGTCTTTCATAATGAAATGAACTACATGTTCAGAGGTTGAAGACAGGTACAAGTACAAATTCTTGTATTTGTTTCTTTAGAGGGGGGGAATGTAAAGATATGATGTAATTCTGAACATACTGGTCTCGCCTGCAGAAGGTGGAGGAACTGGAACGCCAGCTGATGGACATGAAGCTACGGGAGGACAAGCTGCTGCAGATCATCAGCGACCTACGCTCGGCACACGGGGGTCATACGTCCAATATAGCTTTAGACTCGGCTCCCTTCTTGAACATGGATGGTGAGTGGTTTTGTGCGAGGTGGCTCAGTGAGACGCTCCTCATGCATGATGTGGTCATTTAGAGGCGGAAGATAGGACTTGTACTCGTATTACCTGTGCGCTATGCTAATGACCTTTATAATAT